CCCCAAAACCCCAAAACCCCAAAACCCCAAAACCCCTAGTAAGAAATCCATGTTAAATATTATATTCAATATTAAATATGTCTTACAATACTATAAATCCGGATTATCTTAATGTGCAGACAAATACAGACATTGTGAAGATTATTTCTAATGAAGTCGTGTTCTTTAGCAATAAAATAAATCAGCTATCAAGCTATAACATGGCTACTAAAAGGTAATTTTATGTAAAACTGTATAGAATTATAATAGTCACTTCCAAAGCCATTTACTTATTTAAGCAAAGTGGACCGAAATAAACGTAAACTAAAGAATTGTCTGCCTTTTAAAGAGATTCTAGGTTTGACTAAGTCAATAAAGTCAAATCAATTTGTTATCCATACGGAAACTGACTTTATCAGGCTAAAAGCAACCAATTCTAATGAGTGCATTGAGATGGTCAAGATCGCTTATGTGAGTGAAGTTCACAAGAACTTGGAAATTTATGCAGCTGAAATGAAGGATCTAAAGGGAGTTACAAAAATAAGGACAGATTTCAAACTTCTCTCTGATGAAAATTTAATGAAGGAACAAGCCGAGGAAGAGAGCAAGGAAGAGATCAAATCCAAGAAAGTGCTAGAAGAAACAACAAAATCAGATGATACTGCAACAGATGATAAAGAGAAAGAAGAGGAAAAGGATCCTGATGAGCCTCATGTTATTGAAGAAAACTTTGAATTTCAGGAAAAAGACGCAAAGCTCAAAAGATCTTCCACATTATACTCCAGAGAGTCAGAAACAGATTGTGAATTTGAAGACTTCGTCATCAGAAAAGTCCTAGGAATTGGATCATTCGGAAAAGTTTACTTGGTCGAAAACCAGATAAACGGTAAACTTTATGCTATGAAGAGTATCAAGAAGGAGAAGATTATGGATTATAACAAAATGGAGTCGACCAAACTTGAAGAACACATTCTACTCAATTCTGAGCACCCAAACATTGTTTCCCTTGACTTTGTATTCAAAAATGAAGAGAGAATATATTTTATAATGAACTTCGTCCGGGGAGGGGAACTATTCAAGCAAATTATTGACTGAAGAAGATTTAATGAAGATAGAGCAAAATTTTATGCTGCTCAGATCGCGTTAGCACTAGGTCATCTTCATTCACAAGATGTACTTTATCGAGATCTCAAGCCTGAAAATATTTTGCTTGGAGAAGATGGGTATGTATACCTTACAGATTTCGGTCTTTCAAGAATTCTGGCAAGAGATGAGATTGCAACAAGCTTTTGAGGTACTGCTGAATATCTTGCTCCTGAAATGGTAACTTCAATAGGACATAACTTTGGGATTGATTGGTGGGCCCTAGGCATCTTAATTTATGAAATGATAGTTGGAATTCCACCGTTTTATCATAAAAAGAGAGACCATATGTTCTTTTTGATCAAGGAGGCAGAAATAAAATATCCAGATCCTGTGAAACACGGAATATCTGTATCAGATGACGCAAAAGATCTAATTAATAAATTACTAAATAAAGATATGGACAAAAGACTTGGAGTTGATGAAGACGTTGAAGAAATACTAGAGCATCCATGGTTTGAAGACTTGGATATGGATAAAATCCTTTCAAAGGAAATGGAGCCTCCTTATAAACCTGAGCTTGATTCGGATAAATATGACACATCCTATTTTGATCCAAGTGTCACATGAATGGATGCGAGAGAAAGCGAATAATAAAATTGAATAAATATTATCTAAGTTTGTATTACAAAATTCAACTTCAATGAAAATACAAGGGGTTTTGGGGTTTTGGGGTTTTGGGGTTTTGGGGTTTTGGGG